GCCCGCACGAAGATGCTGCGCACTGCCCGCACTAGCACATTGGGCGCGCGAATGAAGACCAGACTCTCCAGCAAAACCACGAGCTCCACGGGCAACTGCGGGCAGAGCAAAAAGTGGACAGAGGTGGCTTGTGGCTATTCCGCCTTCTCCTCCTCAATATCCTCCCTCCACCCTCGCTCCCACATGTTTCTCTTCCTCCTCCACCTCCGTGTCCTCCCCTTCTCCTCATCCTCAATTGTAAACATGTTCGTGGCTGCGCGCATTTCTGGCATTATGTTTCGTGGCTGTTGGTGTCCGTGCGAGGGGCACGAGGAGGGGGATGAGGAGGAGGAGGGGAAGGAAAAGGAGGAGGGGGAGGAGGAGGAAGAGGATAAGGAAGAGGCCTGTCCATGCACAGAGCTCACCTGGAGCGGCACGCGCTCGAGCGAACGCCCGCGCGCGCGGGCCTTCTTGCTGGCCCGCCGCGCCACCGGCGAGAGAGAAGTCCTGGCCATGCCAAGTGCCGCGATGGCATCGCGACGCGGCCCTCTAAGCCCTCGCGGCTGCAGTCGCAGGATGCGAGGGGGGGGGAGTTGTTAGTAAGGGCGCGCCGCAAGGACGCAAGACCCATAGACGATCCTTGGACGCTCAAGTTGAAACTTCAAAAATTATTCACTGCCGAGAAACGCAAAGACGCTAGAGCACCCTTGGAAAAGTTACCCGTCTGTCTTTGCCGGGGGAGGGGAGGAGGGAGGGCGGGCTGAAACCTAGTTGTATACTTGGCTATCCGATTGGGTGTCTGAGTATGCTGCGAGGGCGGCTGTCAGTGCGGAGGCGACGTTGGCCTGCCTATTCTCGGGCAGCGCGCAGCCGATCGCACTCTCGGGCAGCTCGTCAATCTGGTCAAACTGCGTGTCGGGCAGCTCGGCGACCGGCGCGCTCTCAGGCGGTGCGGGTACCCTCTCGGGCGGTGCGGCGACCTGCGTACTCTTGGGCAGCGGGGCGACCTGCGTGTGCTTGGGCAGCGCGGCGACCTGCACGCGCTTGGGCAGCGCGGCGACATGCGTACTCCCAGGCAGCTCGGCGACCTGCGTGTGGGGCAGCGCGTCGACATGCGCACTCCCAGGCAGCTCGGCGATCTGCGTGTCGGGCAGCGCGGCGACGTGCACGTCCTCGGACAGCGTGATCTTGGCCTCCTTGGGCGGCGTGTCCACCGGGGTGACGTCGTCGGTCGTCAGGTCGATGCCCTCGACCGGCAGAAGCGGCGTAGGCGTAGGCGAGGAGTCTCGGCGAGGGCGCTTCCTGGCGATCGGATGGTCTTCTTCATCACGCCCTGCGGCTTGGCCGCCCGCCGACGCGTCCACCGACGCGCCCGCCGGCGACGCGCCCGCTGAGCCCGCTGCGGCTGCTGGCGTGGGCTCCGCCGGGCGCGGCTGGACACGCGCTGCGGCTTGCCCGCCCGCCGACGCGTCCGCCGACGCGCCCGCCGGCGACGCGCCCGCTGAGCCCGCTGCGGCTGCGGGCGTGGGCTCCGCGGGGCGCGGCCGGACGCGGATCTCAGCCGGGATCGAGAACGCGTACGTCTTCGCAAACCCCTCCGGCAGCCCATCGATCTCGATCCGCATTCGAAGGGGCCCCGCCATTTCCAGCGGCATCAGCACTAGGGGCTCGAAGGCGCGAGCGCTACTCAAGAGCCGAAACTGTTTACGGATGCAACGGTGGCGGGGATCTGCGCATCGCGCCCCCGCGGTACGCGACGCGCCATTATTTTCGCGTCCTCGCGCCGCCCCCTGGAGAGGGGCAGCTCTCTGGCCCAGACCGCAACGTGCGAAGCGCGATTATCTTCGGGCCCCTGGGGGTGGCCTATGCTATCGGCAGGGGGTCGAGGGGGAGGAAAAGGGAATGGTGGGAAGAAGAGGATGGCGGTGAGGATGGGGGAAGCGGAGGAGTAAGCAGAGAAGGAGGCCAGGGGCGGGGAGAGGGGAGGCAACGGATAGGGTCGATGGGGTAGGGGGTAGGGGGGGAACTCTGGATTTCAGGCTTGATATCGCGTGTGCATCCACGCTACATGCTGAAGGAAAGACCGCTCGAGATCTGGATTTGGGAAATGCATTGGGGCGGGCATCTAAGCTACATTCTGAAGGAACAACCGCTCGAGATCTAGATTTGAGGAATGCACTCGGGTGAGCATCGACGCTACGTGCTGAAGGAGAAACCGTTAGAGTCTTTCGCCTAGGACGCGCTGTGGGGGAGATCGAGGGTGGATGGACAGGAGAGAATGGGGATCAGGAGGAGAAGGAGGGGGAGGGAGGGAAGGGGGCGGAGGAGGAGGAGGAGGAGGGGGGAGCGGATGGAGAAGCCGTCGCACAGCCGCCCGAAGTGAGTCGCGCACACGTGTGCGCCGCCAGTTCTCTGCAGACTGGCCGCCCCGTACCCATTGCCTTGAGCTGCGCTGGCCCCGCCGCGCAGCCTCTACAATACTGAAGCCGCGCCGATCGTGCGCGAATCGCTGCCAACCTTGAGGTCCCTCTGTTTCTTCCGCCTGCTCATCTATATTTGCTCCTCCCTCCTCTCTCCTCCAACCGTCCTCCTTGACCTCATCCCTGCTCCTCCTCTCTCCTTTCCTCCCTTCTCTCCCTCTTCCCTCCTGGTGCTCCTCCCTCTTTCTCATCCTTTCCCCCCTTTTCCCCCCCTCTCTCAAGCAGTAGCCCCTGCGCCCTCACGCGTTGGTGGGCACGTCGAAGCCAGTCTGGCGCACAATCGCTTTCCACGCATGGGAGACCGACTCGAAGTGCGACCACGTGAAGGTCGGCTGCTCGGGCCACCCGTTGAGGCTGTGCACCACCCTGAAAGCTTTCTGCTCGAGCTGCACTCCAATCTTCGCCCCGCTCGCCGCCTTCACAGTGTAGTTCTTTTTCCCCCGCAAGTGCGGGACGAGCTCCACCAAAGGCCTGCTGTACAGCGGCATGTGGTCTAAGGGGAGCCCTTTGAAGCTGGTGGCGAAGGCGCTGGCGTCCAGCCCGGGGACCGCGGACGTCGTCTTCTCGGAGGGGCTCTGCGTGTCCGCGGCGTTCTCGGTGAGGCCGTGCTTGGACTTCCTCTTGCGCTTCGTGACTCTGAAGCTTGCCTTCGCGGCGGCGCCCTTGCGCTTGACTTTCTTGACCTTGCTGCCCTTTGCCTTGGGCCTAGGGCCCCTTGTCTTCACCTCTCCGGCGGTCTCGAGATCCGCGTGTACAATCGGCTCCTTCCAGGATGACTCCTTCAGTTTCCGGCGCTTCGGCTCAGGAGTCGTGAAGCTGGCCGCCTGTGTCCCTTCGTCTCCGAGATCCGACTCGCTGCTGGCAGGCGGGCACAGCTCCTGCAGCTCCTCGTCCTCCGCGTCTTCACTGCTATGCTGCCCCTCGTCCTCCGGCCCCGCGTCGGCCGCGCTGCCCGTCGGGGGCCTCTTGGAGCTCTTGTCATCCGACGGCTCGCTGTCGAACAGCTCCTTCTCAATATCCTCCAGCTGCTGCAGATCCTCGTGTACCACGCTGCGCCTCAGAGGCCTCTTGGAGCCACGACTCTCACGAGGCTCGTCTTCCTCGCCCGCCGCCTCCTCCGCCTCGCCCTCTGGCTGCAGCTCCTGCAGCTCCTCGTCGATCGCACTGCTCGCTGGAGACATCGAGCCAAGGCTCTCGCGATCTTCCTCATCGGCCGCCTCCTCGCTGCTGAGCTCCTCCTCGTCCTCTGGCTGCTTCTCCAGCTCCTCGTCGGCCGGGCTCTCGCGAGGCTCCTCTTTCTCATCCGTCGCTTCCTCGCTGCTCGGCTCCTCCTCGCCCTCTGGCTGCTTCTCCAGCTCCTCGTTGGCCGCGCTGCCCGCCCCTGGATCTTCCTCATCGGCCGCCTCCTCGCTGCTGAGCTCCTCCTCGTCCTCTGGCTGCTTCTCCAGCTCCTCGTCGGCAGCGCTGCCCGCTGGAGGCCTCTTGGAGCCAAGGCTCTCGCGGGGCTCCTCGTCCTCGCCCGCCGTCTCCTCGCTTGCCTCCCGCTCGTCCTCCGGCTGCTTCTCCAGCTCCTCGTCGGCAGCGCTGCCCGCTGGAGGCCTCTTGGAGCCAAGGCTCTCACGAGCTTCCTCGTCCTCGTCCGTCGCCTCCTCGCTTACCTCACCCTCGTCCTCTGGCTGCTTCTCCAGCTCCTCGTCGGCAGCGCTGCCCGCTGGAGGCCTCTTGGAGCCAAGGCTCTCACGAGCTTCCTCGTCCTCGTCCGTCGCCTCCTCGCTTACCTCCTCCTCCTCCCCCTCGTCCTCTGACTGCTTCTCCAGCTCCTCGTCTGCCGCACTGCCCGCTGGAGGCTTCTTGGGGCCAAGATTCTCGCGAGGCTCCTCGTCCTCGTCCCTCGCTTCCTCGCTGCTTACCTCCCCCTCGTCCTCTGGCTTCTTCTTCAGCTCCTCGTCGGCTGGGCTCTCGCGAGGCTCCTCTTCTGCATCCGTCGTTTCCTCGCTGCTCGGCTCCTCCTCGCCCTCTGGCTGCTTCTCCAGCTCCTCGTGGGCCGCGCTGCCCGCCTCGGGATCTTCCTCACCGGCCGCATCCTCGAGCTCCTCCTCGTCCTCTGGCTGCTTCTCCAGCTCCTCGCCCTCGTCGGCTGTGCTGCCTTTCGTCGGCGAGCTCTTCTGGGACTTGTGCGCGGTGAGGGAGAGCTTCTTCAGCGCCGCCAGAATGTCTGATTTCTTGCAGCAGGCCGACCGCTTTGACATGCGTCCCAAGTGGCTGACGAGCCGCTTCCAAACTCGGCCCTCCCTCACCGCGAACATCGCAATCTCCTCATGGTCCTGGCCAGCGAGCAAGCCGTACTTGAGCTGGCGGTTCATCTCCAGCAGCGCGTCGGCGTAGAAGAATGCCGAGGAGAACCTGGTGCCCACCAGCGACCCCTTGATCATGGGGGCGTTCCTCTCCAGGTCCTTCGCAACGATGTTCTCACCGCTGCTGTCCTACTGAGGAGGCGGATCGAGGATAATGGAGGAGGAGGAGGATGACGAGGAGGCGTAGAAGGAGGAGGAGGAGGAGGAGGAGGAGGAGGAGGACGTGGAGGAGGAGGAGGAGGACGAGGAGGAAGAGGAGGGGTGGGTGAAGGAGGAGGGTGTGGAGCAGGGGGAGGAGGAGGATGGGGAGGGAGAGGAGGGTGAGGACGTGACGAGGAGGAGGAGGAGGAGGAGGAGGAGGAGGAGGAGGAGGAGGAGGAGCTTGCGAAGGTGGAGGTTGTGGAGGAAGAGGAGGGGGAGGAGGACGGGGAGGATGATGATACTGAGTAGGAGTAGGAGCAGGAGGAGGAATATGAGGAGGAGGAAGAGGAGGAGGAGGACGACGACGAGAGCATTTCAGGAGGAAATGACAGAGGAGGAGGAGGAGGGGGAGGCGAGGGGGAAGAGGAGGAGGCGAGGAGGAAGAGGAGGAGAAGAAGGCGGAGGATGATAAGCAAGCAAGCAAGCACATCTCGAGGAGCGTCAAGAGGGAGGAGGTTAAGGGGGAGGGTGGGGCAAGGGGGGGGGGGGGGGGGAGAAGGAGGAGGAGGAGGAGGAGGAGGAGGAGGAGGAGGAGGAGGAAGGAGTAGGAGTAGGAGTAGGAGGAGGAGGAGGAGGAGGAGGAGGGAGGAGGAGGAGGAGGTGGAGGAGGAGGAGGAGGAGGAGGAGGAGGAGGAGAAGGAGCAGGAGGAAGAGGGGGAGGAGGAGGAGGAGGAGGAGGAGGAGGAGGAGGAGGCGGGTCGACATCCTGCGTCGGGAAGATCTTCGTCTTCGCGAACTTGCCGGCGCGGCACGCCTTGATGGACAGCGCCGGCAGCTCTTGCAGGGTGTTCGCCGCCATCAGCTCGACGTCCTTGCGAGACCTGCGCGGCCCCCCTCGTCCTCCGCCGCCCTCCTCCTCCCCCCGTCTCCCATCCCCACTTCTCCCTCCTCGTCCTCCGCCGGCCTCCTCCTCCCCCTCGTCCTCCGCCAGCCTTCCCCTCCCCTTTTCCTCCGCCGCCCCCCCGTCGCCCTCCTCCACCTTTTTCCCTCCAGCGACCACGCCATAGCGCGGCCAGCGCAGGAGGACCACGGCGCCTGGAGGTCCATCGCGCCCCAGCGCGAGGGGCCAGCCTTGCGAAGGCAGCCAAAAAGGCTATGGGAGGAGGAGGAGGAGGTGGAGGAGGGAGAGGAGGGGGGATGAGGCCAAGGCCAGGAGGAGAGGGAGGAGGGGAAGGAGGAGGAGGTGGAGGAGGAGGAGGACGAGGAGGAGGAGGAGGATGAGGAGCAGGGGGAGGAGGAGGAGGAGGAGGAGGAGGAGGAGGAGGAAGGAGGAGGAGGATGAGGAGGAGGAGGAGGAAGAGGAGGAGGATAAGGGAAGAGGAAGAGGAGGAGACCGAGGATGAGGAGGAGGAGGAGGAGCAGGAGGAGGAACCTTGAGACGGACCCTTGCCATGGGGCCTTCAGGGGAGCTCTTTCCCCCCTTCCCCATGGGGCCACGATCCTTGGGAGGGGTGTGTCGAAACGGGTGGGGTCTTGCACACGACCCCTGCCACTGGGGCGTTCGGCGGAGCTCCTGACCTTCGTGAGAGGTGTGCCGAAACGGCAGAGGAGGAGCAGGAGGAGCAGGAGGAGCAGGAGCAGGAGCACGAGGAGGAGGAGGATGAGGAG